AATTTTCTCTCTGTGGCATACATGCCCCCTCCCCTCTTCCCTATGAGGAAGACATACAAGTTTTTAATTTTATTAGGTTATGGGGTATTCACTTTTCTTTCCTTTGATGCCATGAGGCACATAATGCATTTGTATGCCTTGTCTTCTGTTAGTCTATCTATCGTCAGTTCATTTCAGAAACTTAATCATCAAATCTTTGGAAGAAAAGTTTCTTCCCTACGATGTCAATGGTTAAGTACCCAAAAACTTAAAATAGATATTTTTAGATTTTTCTTTAGTCAGACATTTTATGGAAGAAGAAAGTATAGTTGACCCCATAAACAACTTGAGGATTGGGGCCAGTGTCCCCCTGCACAGTTGAAAACCTGCATAGGATTTCTGACTCCCCAAAATCTTAACTACTAACAGCCAACATAAACAGTCAATTAACACACCTTTTATATGCTTTATGTATTATATGCTGTGTTCACACAATAAAGTAAGCTAGAGGAAGAAAAACAGTATTTTAAAAATCATAAGAAAGATAACATACATTTACAATTTATTAAGTGGAAGCGGATCATCAGAAAGGTCTTTATACTCATCTTTCCACTGAATAGGCTGAGAAGGAGGAGAAGGAGGAAGCATTGGTCTCACTGCCTCAGATTGCAAAGGCAGAAGATATGAAGGTGGTGGAAAGAAAGGCAGGAGAGGCAGGCACACAGGGTATAATTTTAATTTTAAAAATCTGCATCTAAGTGAGCTCACACAGTTCAAATATGTGTTATTCTAGAATCACACTCCCAGCTTCCTAGAAGAAAATCATTCGGGGGGTGGGGTGGAAAGTGATACAAAATGCAAACCATATCATCTTGGCCTTCCTTCCCACAACCTTCTATAATCAATCTTTATTCACTCATCTTTATTTAAAAAGCTTTGCTTTGAAGAAGAGAAGGATACTGGCAAAGGGGAGAAATTATAGTATTACATAAATAATGATCTGTAAATTCTCTCACTTCATCTATATTTTCAATTATTTCAGCAAAACTTAGAGAAACACACCAAGCACCAGAGCCCTCTGGGATCTTTTCCACCTGGTTTTGCGTCATCAGTCATGTAAGACTTCCCAGAATTACCAAGCATTAGCATGTATAGATAACGGAGTCGTTCCTAAGTCCTGAGCTAGTATTTAAAATCTCTGGGGTGTTCTGCTATGAGTACACTGAAACAATTATCACAAATACCCTGAAACCTTCAGAAATGATTTTTTTCTGAATCTATTCTGAATTAGGAAATATTCCTTGGAGCTGGGAGATGACAATACATCATCTTCCTGTTAGCAACTTCGATGGACCACTTTTTAAAATGTATTCTGTACTTTTTTACTTCCTAAATTATTAAACTATGCTATATATGGTGAGGGACATAGAGGCACTGTGCATGGCAGAGGAGTTTTATACTAGCTGAGTGATTGTGGGAATATTACTTAATATCTTAGTGTTTCGGGTTTCTACTTCTTTAAATATCTGCTTACTAGTGCTATTGAGAGGCAAAAATGTAGTAATATATCAGAAATGGAAACAGTGCCAAGAAACTAAATTTTCAATAAAAGTTATCTGCATGTCTTCTCTACCCCCTAACCCAAACATTACGAATGCTTTACTTTTCCCCAGCCACTGCAACTGTGAAACTGTACTGGTCAACTGTTGCTAAAGTTCTTGAGATGCAAGGTGCCTTTCTCACCTACCTCCCCTTTACTCCCTTCTCCATGAAATCCTCCCATACCCCCAGCTTTCTAATTTGTTGTTTCAGCATTTCTGATAGCAATGTCAGTTACAATTGCTAAACTCCCCAACCCATTTATACCAGATAAAGAATTCAGGCTGAAAAAAAGCCAAACAAATATACAGAAATTTTCCCTCAAATTGTCTCAGGCAATTGGGAAATGTATCTTCTCACATTTTTATAGGTACAGATGTAAAGGAGACTTCAGAAGTATTTGATGTATCCTGGTGTATTCTCTCTCCCATTTATGCCACGTACAGAACTTTATCCCAAGACTGTCTTACCTTAGTTTCAGGTAGGCTTTCAGAAGCAACTGGGATGGCACTCTTCTTTGTCACATCTGAAAGGAGAGAGACAGAAAATCTTACCAGTTGTATTAGTCTGTTCTCACAGTGGAATAAAGAACTGCCTGAGATTTCATAATTTATAAAGGAAAAAAGTTTAATTTACTCACAGTTCTGCATGACTGGGGAAGCATCAGGAGGCTTACATTCACAGCAACTGATAACGGGGAAGCAAGACACCTTCC